GGGGAGGAAATCATTCAAAATTAACTCTTACATACCCTATATTGTCTTTCTTACATTTGGGAGCAAGGGAAGGCAAAATTTTATGTTAAAAGTGACTTCAATTATTCCAAGACTGACAAGAACAGGGTATCTTAACAGCCCTCCACTGGCACTTTTCCCTTCTCCAACCCATCAGCAGATTCATTACTGCACATTATCTGCAGGATGGTGGCAGGGGAGAACAGTATTAGAAATGAAATGCTATGCTGTGGACAGCAATGAAAGCAGCTTTTTCTTCCTTCGGAAGCAAAAAAGATATACTGTACAATCAAAATGCCACAATAACAGCTTACAGAAGGCATCTTGAGGTATCTTCCAGCCCTGAAAGTCTATATATTGTAAATTCACATGTATTTCACTCCAGATTATTGTTCCACTGTGTTTTATAATATAGTGTGTAACAATATAGCTGTACAACCACTACTTTCTGACAGTATAGGGAAGTAAAAGAGAAATGAGATATGAGAGAAGAGGCGCAGAAGCGGGAATGGGAGAGAAGAACAACTCAGCTAGCACTTTAAGCAGCACTGTACCTCTCAACTTATACATCTCTCCATTAGCAGAGTAGACCACCAACATGTGTGGCACTTCATCACTGGGCGATATTATAGCTCCAGCTAAAGACAAGGTTCCTCGTGGCTTCTGGTTTTTACTTTGTGCATTCACGAAATACTGCAGAATCCCCGTCTCAAAGTCCAGCACAAAGTACCTGTTCAAAGAAATTGCAATCGTGTAGTATTTCTGTTAAAGAGTTTTTCACGCATTTACTCAAAGAAGAGCACAGATTGATCTTAAATCAAGATCATAAACAAATAAATGAGGTTAAAGTCGCTTTTGTAATAACTCGATTTCATAAGGCACTGTTATTTTGGTCATTAGGTTTGGTTTTTTAAGGGCTATTATTTTACTCATGTTCCTTTCAGATTAATGCACATTCCATAGTAAATTTTTCTTTCACTCATTCTCAGTTTTCCTTGTCCATTTTAGGAATATCTGTTACATATTCCAGAGAAAAAGCAGAGCACTAGCCAGAAGTCATGCCATGCCCCTGAGAAAATGGTACAGTAGTTTGACCCTAGAGCAAGTGTTTCTCTCCATCCAACTGACAAGTTTTCAGCAATCTCTTTGGGTTTAGCAAACAAGTCTAGGCTTTATATGTAGCTAAGTCCCTTCTGAGCCTGTGCCATGCTCATTATAATTTCATTGTCCTTTTATTGTCCAGGTACAAATGACTTGTTTCAGCCTTTGTTATCAGGCCATCTTTTATCAATTACTACCTTGGAAGTCATCATCGTGGTTACTGCAGTACAGCTCTACAATTAACAAAAGGAGGAACAACAGTAAAAAAAAAAAAAAAAAAAAAAAAGGCAAGAAAAATCATCTTTCCTTCTCCTATGAAGACCAAAGGATTTGGGGAAACAAGTTCCTCTGAATCTATTAGAACAGAATCTATGAAGTTACATAAACGCTACAAGCACTTCAACTCAAACTTTTACATGCTAGACCAGCAAAGCACTCCCAGAATGACTGTAAGCTCCATAAAGATGTGCTTTGCATTGCCATGAAGCTACCCCAGGGACAGAAACCAGCCATTCGAGTACAGAATACACCTTTACTAGCATAATGACATCCAAGAGAAGCGACTTCTGCAAATCCACATATGCAGAGACAGCATCCTTCCACATCCCTGTCATCACAGCTCCAGCAGTAGTGTTAACTTGACCTTCTAGCCAACCATGATCTATTTTATGTGTAGTCTCAGAAAAACAGAACATTATCATTGGCCTTGTACCTTCAGTTTTCAGTACTTCTGATGACATCTTAGTTGCCTGTAAAAGCATGCAACATGTTTGCAGTACAACTCAAGCAGTAATTTTAAGAAAGAAGAAAGTAACCAGTTCTCGCAAGCCTTCGCATCGCCCGCTTCAAGTATGCTGCCTTTTTTGTTGTCCCAGATGAACCAGTTTCATGTCTGCCAACTTTGAAAGCCATAAGAGAAAAGAGAATTATCTACAGAAACTATCTAAAGTCCCAACTGTCCAACAAAAACTGGTCCTGTCAACAAAATAGTTTCCCTGTGACTTTGGAGAGCTCAGGAACTTTGCACAGTCATCCTGACCATGACACTGTTCATATCACACAGAACCAAGTATTTGCTTTTCAAGAGTTATGGTTTGATGCGCAACTCCCCTCTTCACCTTTCACACAGTGGTATCACAGAAAAAGATAGACTGGAGTAAACTGCACAGACAACTATAGTCTCACAAGAGAAGCAGGGGGATAATGCACTTTGAAAACTGCTAAAAGGATAGAAAAAGCCAGGAGAAGGAATAAGGAATTAAATGTCAAATCAAGCAGTGCAAGACTTCATACAAAGGAGGTGGGGGGGAGGGAGGAACAGAAAGAGATGGGAAAAACAGAAGCAGCTTTCAAAAACATTTTCTCGCATCACAGACCAAGTGATGACCCAGTTCAGACCATCACAAAAACGCAGAAGAAACGGAGACCAGATTCTTTCATTAATTGAAGATGGAAAAGCATTATATATATAAAGCAGGACAGAGGTAAGAGAATGGTACATGTCCCATTTTAGAAGCCCCACGTAACCGTATCAAAAGGACAGGGATATCTTTTAACTGTTAACTTTTAACAAAAAAGTCATGTCATTCCCATACCAGGGAAATAACAGCACTAACCTCTCTAGAATTGATTAATCTTGCCACCTTATCCTGTATTTCTCTACTGGCCTTGCTCACAGAGCACACATTTACCCATGATGTCGTATTTCTCTAATTAATTTACAGATTAACGCTGATGAAAACTAACATACTCTTTCGAGAACAGTCAGGTAGGAGGTAGCAGAGTCAAGTTATGTCATACTAGACATAAACAATGAAACAACTGTTACTGACAGACACCTCCAAAAGACAGCTGAACTTTTCTGTTATTCCAAAATTGGACAAAATCATCAATTTGGGGTTTTTTTACATTAATATTTATTAAAAGAGTCCATTTAATGGTAAGCTAGAAAATTACCACTTTAACACATTTTAAGCAGTTTTAACTGCTTAAGCACTGTTCAAAGTAGACACGTAAAATTACAGGCAAGGAAAAGCAGGCCATTTCACAAAAGAAAAGCCTTTAGCCAATGGATTTCTCACTTTAAACTCAAATCCATCCAGAGAATACAGGCTTCTTGCTCCTCTGGCCCAGCCTCCCTCAAGCTCCTGGGATTTACCAAGATACTCCCCCCTGCCATTCCAACCAAACACAGATGCATTACCAACTGATATCAATTACAAGATAAAACATTCAGCCACATTCTGTGAACTAGAATTTTATTGCTGTTCTATCAAGTTAAAAAACCAAACAAAAAACCCCCAACAGTCTGACACTACCGGAATTATTTTAAGTTACTCAAGAGTTTGTCAATATGGCCTGATGACACTTTATTTCTATTTTACTTGCCATATTTCAAAATCTGCACGCTCTGAGAATAAATCCTCAGTCTTATAAATTTTGTAACTATCCCCTTTACCCATTCATCTTGACAGCCATAAAAGAAAAAAAAGTCAAGCAGAACAAGTGTGACGTATTAGGAAGCATAACTATGTTGCCTTCTGAATTCTTGGAGGGGAAGAGAGAGACTCAAACACTACCAATAAATTATTTCAGCTGGATTTTTCATTCACTGATATGAGCATTTATTATAGTAATAATTATATATAATTATATAATACTATGGTTTAGTGATAAAATGCTGGTGGTATAGTAGGAGATGCAAATGGTCTACCGTCAGAGCCTGTCAACAGAGAACAGCAGCTATACAGGTCTTCCATGAGAAAATTTGACATTTCCAACACTATCCCAGTTTGAGGCAATAAAAAAGAAATTTTAAAAAATTTTAAAGAGAGACCCAAAAGTATCAGAAGGACATGATATGAACATTTCCCATGTAATTTACTCACCTCACTGGATTTAAGAATTTTCATTTTCCCATTTCCAGTCAAATAAAGCATTTCCATATTCTCCAGTGGAAATGCATACTTCAAAAAAAAAAACCAAACCACAAATCAAAACCTTTCTAGACATTTCAACATTCAATTGCACATCCATAACATGGTGCACTGCTCACTGAAGCTGTCACTCAGATGCAAGTTTGCAATGCACCCAAAGGTATGTTCCCAGCAGAAAAAAAAAGACCTCTTAAAAAAACTTGTTTCTTTACTATCCCTATTCTGAACACATCTCAGAAACCAACCATCTAGAAATAAGTTTTCACTACTCTCTAATCCCAAGAAGTTTTCAAGGTCGGACTGCCAAATCTTTCCATTGTGTAATGTATTCCTAGTGATTTGAATTCTCCCCACACCCTTCTTCCCCAGTTAAGTCAGTGTTCTGGAACAGATTTTGTACAACTTCCAGTTTGAATTCATAATGTGATAGAGGTTTTTTTTTTATATATAAACACTTTTGCAACTGGACAACTGCAATCCCAGTCAAATCTTCAATTATGGACTCAATCTGCTAAAAAACTCACCTCTTTTGGAAAGCAGAATTGTATTAATTACTTCCTTAGGTTCATAAACTAGCCTACGTTGGAATCCATGCTTCATAGTTGGACTGTGACTAATCCCAGAGCGCATCTGTTTAAAATTGGTATGGATGCCCAAATACTGCACAGTAGCATAGACAAATCCTTTGACTAAATACAAAATCTTCCATAATCTCCAAACCATAAAATGGTTTTCATTTTATGATGACCTAACACAGCAGCTACTTCTGGATGGAGAGGCATGCCGGGTTTCTACCGCAGGCTAGCCTTGGTTTCAGCTTTTTGGAGATTTTTTCCCAGTTACTTTCTCATTGATGGACAGAGGGGCTTTTCTCTCTAAACACTGCTTTAGCTCTTCCACAGACACCTTTTCTCCTAAACCAGTCTCACAATATGTACTTTATGATCTTTTTATTTTGCTTTAACTATAAAAATGCAAATTGTTCAGATAAAATACATTGATTTCAAAGAGCACAAAGTCTTCACCCTGATTTAAAACCTTGATAGGCAACATCACCTTCCCTATCATATTAGAAAAATAACAATTCACGTATTTCCCCTTCTCAGACCGCTGAATTTATTATTCGAGACAATGTGACAAATACTATTCTCCACTACACATTTCAGCATCAAATTAGCTCAAGAACAGAAGCAGCTCACTAACAGGAGAATTTCACTACCTTCTCCTTCTACCACTTTGTTATCAGTATTTCTGAATTTCCAAATATGTGTTTTCCTTTCACTCCATTCCAATTTTCCGCCAGTCACTGCCAGAGCGCGTTTTTGAGGATTATGGGATCACTGAAGAGGACATTTTCAAGAATAAGGAATCAAACTATTCTATAATTCTCTTCCTTTTTTTTTTTTTAAATGTAGTTAAAAAAAACTAGATAAGAATTATAGGATAGAAAGTAAATGACTGTGTCAAAGAAAAGCAAAGTTTATGGTCTATAATTCCTCCTTTTTTTTTTTTTAAATGTAGTTAAAAAAAACTAGATATGAATTATAGGATAGAAAGTAAATGACTGTGTCAAAGAAAAGCAAAGTTTATGGTTCCAGTAACTGAACGAGATGTCACACAGAAATATTTCATTTTTAGGAAACTGTATATTATTAGGCCATCTTGGTGATGACATTTATGCAACTGCTTAATT